GTTTGACATGATATACCGTTCTATAAAGAAATCACGCAGTTTAACACGATATACCATTCCAAGAAGTCAAGCACAAGAAGCAACAGCGTCGCGTCCATTCCAAAGAAGTCGTCATGTCATCGAGCAAAAGCAAACAATAAAAAGCTTAAAAAAAAGAAAATAATAAGATGGTAATTCATTTTATAGTTGCGATTCTTCTAAATGCGTCATCACTATCAGTCATCCAAAATAATATAATCATGATAAGATACGCCTCATGACGAGGCAACCGTGAGAAGACAACATAAAAAATTAAAAATCTACCCCCTACTGGATTTTTGTTATTAATCAAAATCATACTACATGTATTATGTAATACAGACGATCTGATAGGCATGTTTTGACGATTGTTTTTAACAAATAAAAATTTCACAAACTGTAATGAAAGGATTGAGAGTTGACTATCAACTATATAATAAAACTTGAATATTCAATTTTCAATTATTTGAGACAGCGAGAAATTGTTTAGTATAGCTTTTTCTCAATAATTTACCCCATAGTCAGTAATCATTAAATTGTGAAAATGTATCAATTTTTTTCATGATCTATGACATATTGGCCCAAATGAAATGATTATTCTTATAAATATGCTTTTGTAAATGCATATACAAATTAATTACAACATAAAGATTCGGAATTTTTTGTAACGCACAAAAAATGTCGTAGGTAAGTAATTTTTTTATTTATTTTACATCTCATGATCTACTGTACTAACGTGTATAAATTTATACCAACCTTTTTTTTGTTGTAATCAACACTTGTAAATGAACAATGTCACGAAAGAATCATTATAAGAGTTATGGGAAATAATACCTGAAAACCTGCAGAAATTATAAAATCACAGGTTATGCGAAGTCTACGGTATATGACCTTGTTAAAAAACTCAAAGAAAATGGCACCATTACATCTCATCCTATTCCTGGATGACCTTCCATTCTTTCATCTGAAAATCGTCGTCACCTAGGCGGCTTGTTCAAACCAACCAAGCAATTTCTGCACTTGAAAATGAGAGATAGACTTACCGAAATTAATCCAAATCCACTCGCACCATTCAATGCACTCTTAATAAAAAACTTCACTATATTGTTTGTAGACCACAAAGGATTCCTCTTCTCAAGCCAAATCATATTGCTTCTCATCTTGAGTGTGGCCAAAAACACATCAATAATAACTGGAACCAAACAATTTTTTCAGATGAAATTATGTTTCAGATATTTCGAAATACCCAGCTAGTATGAAAATGAACATCCATGTCATCCCATGGTAAAATATCCATGTTACACTATCGAGTATGGTATGACCAAGCTAATTAGTATTATATACACTGATTTCGTACTAGTATACCCAATTTAAGCTAGTGTGCTATACTTAGTAACCCGCAGAAAGCTCACAAGTCGGAAACTAGACTATACTCGTAAGTATAGTCATACATTAAATTTTGACATGTATACTAAATAAACCAGTCAATGAATTATTTAATGACATATTCCCATCACCCTTTCTTTTCTTATGAGTAATGTTATATCGTGCAAACTATGTTCTGATTTAGCCTATTCTTTATGATCTTGCAACTTTTTTCTTTGAACAGGATATCCAGTTCAAGAACTCTAATTTCAATTTCTTGCTTCTTCAAATTCAACTCTCTCTCTCTTAATGCTATTCGACGTTCAGAAAGCTCAATATCATCTTCATCAGTTGTACAACTTTTTTTCAGACTTGTCTTTTGTGTAGAGGATTTTCTTTTTGGCTTGACGCTTCATTTCAATTGTAGTATTTTTTTTGTCGCTGTAAAAATTAAATATTATGAGTATTTGCTAATAACTTCAAATACCAAAACAAATTACCTACAGCATTTTATTGTAAGTGCAGTTCTGGCAATTACACCTTTGTCGCGTCCACTATTGCCAATTCCAAATTTGGTATGTACATTAATAGAGGTATATTGGCATTCATCAAAATGACGAGCTCTAATAAATGCAAGTATTTTAGTTGCCAAATATAATAATATCATGATCAAACAAAACTAATTGTTTATCTCAAAATAGCTGTTAATAAATTCAAACTTTTTCCATCATGATTAATGTTTGCATGAGCTGATTCAGCGATATTTGTATTTCTATCCGCTAAATGCCAAAAAGATTCTGGAATATTTGAAACATAACGATTCAAGAACATACTTTTGTCTGTAATAAATAGACCAATCTACAAACATATATTAGAATTATTTTAATTAATTCAAAGATCAAACAAAAAAAGTATACCTTTAGCTCCTTCTTCATTAAAAGTTTCATTCTATCTAGTAATTCAAAAGCTTCTGCATTGGATTGTGCATCAGAAATAGAATATATTATTTGTTTCAAAGGCTTTATTGTGAATGTTTCTGTAAAAAAATACATTAGATAGTTATTGAATTACTTAGAATATTTATAAAAGACTAAATACTTGCCGATTATAATGAATTACACATGACTTGAAAATAAAAGTCAAGTGATCTTCCCAGCTGCATGACGGATCAATATCATATAAAGCTAGTCTTAATCCTTTTGCTTGAGCAGCATTAAGATCATTCATAATTACTGCCTAACCATCATTATGAATATGATAAAATTGAGATATTTTTGTAGTAATTTGGCCAATTACATCAAAAAAAAATGTAAAAATTCAATAATATGTCTGGCAATTAGTAAAAATTCAGATATAGGTTAAAGCTATTAAATATATAATAAAGAAATTAGTACAAATTATTAAATTATAACTGTAATATATAATAAGTTTACTTACTTGTATTATATGTCTGATCATAATTATTTATCTCTCGCTCTATTATATTATCTTAATTATATTTAAAAGATAAATCAATTAGTAATATCATAAGAGTTTTTACTTGTTTTGCTTGATTTAATATCATATAAATAATTATAATATGATTATTATTAAATATACTTAATTGATGAATATAATCATGAATATTATGATTATTTCAAATAAAACTTATAGCAAGTTCAAGATCTTGATCAAATAGATAAGTATTTTTTTTAAATATAATTAATTAAATATTATAATTATTTAATAATACAATAAACTTCTAAAAAAAATTCATAGTCAAAATAAACTTTTATAAGATTATCTATTATAAATAAATAAAAATTAATATTTTATATAATAATAAATAATATTAAAATATATATCTACCTGAAATAAGTAACAGATTTCCTTTAATTTTAGTTTGTAAAATATAATATATAATAATTTATTTCAAATTTTTTATATATTATAGTCTAGATTCTTATAGATATATAGAATAAATTATGCATTATATTTATTAATTTTTAATTGTTTATAAAATAAAAACTCAAGTTGATCAATATATAAATATATATCAAATTTATTAAATTAACAAGATATCAAGATATCTAAAAATTTTGACTTGACTAAAAATAAATGTTATCAAATTATTAACTTTTATAAAACTAATTTTTCTCAAAATAATATTAATAAAATATTAAATTTTTCTAAAATTATATAAATAATTTATAACTATTATAATAGAAAAAGTATATAAATATTATTAAGAAATGATTATTTTGGATCTTTAGATTACAAAGTTTAACAAGAATTAAAGCAAATTATTTAAAAAAATAGAAAGTAATTAATTCATATACTTAATGAAAAATTTAGAAAATAAACTGATATTTAAGCTTCTGATTATATCTTAACAAAATATTTGTATAAAATTGGATTTATTTATATATTTCAGTAATAAAATCTCTTCTTTTATTATAATAATAAGCTAATTGACTCAATTAATATCTTGAAAGAAAAGAATAATTAGTAAAAAAATGGAAAAATATTATTTAAAGTGATAAAAATTACTTTATTATATTTAAAACAGATAATTCAGATTATATTTAATAAACTTCTGAAATATATTTAATAAACTTCTGAAATATATTTTAATATTGAAAATATTATTTTTTTTAGTAAAACATGATGATAGGAAATTAATAATATAAGATTACTTTTTAGATAAGAGATTAGGACTATTAGTAAAAGTAGAAGGCAAATTGGATAGATTAGTCTATATACAAATACTTGAAAAGTAGTTATTATCTTTATTACTATAAAATATAATGAAAAAAATTATTTGTTTTAATAAGATAATATATCAATTTATATAACCAAAGATATTAAAAAATAAATTGTAATAAAGAAGATTAAAACTTTGTCCAATTGGCTAAGTTAATTATTTAACTTGAATTTAATTGAATATTTGTGATTAGAATTAGAATATTAACTTTAAAAATATTTAAAAGTTCCAAAAATATTACAAACTTAGAAAATACTTTACTAGAAGAGTGGGTTAAAATTTCAGATTATATATATATAAATTTAATTAAAAATATGTCAAGAATAATTAAAGCATGTATTATCAATAATATCTAGTTAATCAAATATTAAAAATATAATAAATTTTCAGAAAGTTACTTAATAATATATAAAAAACTTAAAATAAATTATTATATAATATTTTCTGTAAACTAAAATTAAAGAGAATCTGTTATTTATTTCAAATAAGTATATAATTAGAATTTTTATGTACTTGTAGATGATAATTAATAAATAATTTAAAAGAATAATAATTAATCATGAAAACTCAGAATATAATTATTTATTAATTATTTGAATAATAAAAATAAGAAGTATAAAAAAGTATAAAAGAGATTTAAATATAATAAAGAGTATATAAAAATCTTTTTTAATAGAGAGAGTATTAAAAATATATTATAGTAAATCTGATAAGTGAATTTTTACTTAAATTCATCTTAATAATATTAAATTGAAAGAAACTGAATTAAATAATAAATAAAAAGAGAAAAATTAGACTATATTTTTAATAATAATAATAATTTTTAAGATTTATATTAATATCTATAAATATTATCTTTAAAAGAAATAAATTATAAAATAAAATAAAATATAAATTAAAGAAATTAAAAAAAAATTAATAAAGCTACTATCAATTAATATAATTCAAAATTTAAAGTAATTAAATAGTAATTCTATTATTAATCAAAAAAGACTATAACTAAAGAAAACTAAAAACTAAAATTAAATAACTAAAAAAATATGGCTTATTTATAGTAAAGATCTTTTATACTCAAAAATAATAATATAAATAAAATAAAAAGAATATAACTTATTTATAATAGAGATATTTTACTCTCAAAATAATATTAAAAATCAAAATCAATATAATATTATATTCAAAATCAAAATCAACTTTGTATGATCAAAAAAATAAAATTAAATAAGAGAAAGAATACTAGTATAATTAGAAAAGAAATCTTAAAAAGATTACTATTATTATAATAATAAGCTTTTTAATTATATTTTTCAAATAATTCAATTCAAAACTATTTATTTCAAGTTGAGATAATAGATTCTTTTATATATTTTCTAATATATAAGTTATTATAGTATTATTAATTAATACTATTTAAATATATAGATTAATATTTTAAAATATTTTAATTATAAAGATCTATAATATATTATTATATCAAAATATTATAATATTGATATTTTATAGTTTTACTAAAATTTAAATATTTTAATATTAGAATTTTATTATTTTATAAAATATAAATATTCTAATATTAATATTTTATTATTTTATAAAATATAAATATTCTAATATTAGTATTTTATTATTTTACAAAATATAAATATTCTAATATTAATATTTTATTATTTCATAAAGAGATTTTTAACTAATTACTTTATAAAATATACTAAATAAATATATATATAAGATAAATTAAAAATATAAATCTCAAATAAAAAAGAATAAAATATAATATTTAAAATAAAAATATAAATATAAGAAATAAATATAATAAGTAAAATAAATATAAAAATAATAATTATATAATAAATTATAAAATTATAAAAAAAATAAAATTTCATATAATTAAAGAAAGATTATAAAATTAAAGAATTTTATATTATTATAATAATAATATAATATCTTAATCTTTAATAATCTAATTTAAATAAAAATAATATTATCAATTCATTTTGATTAGATAAATTAAATAATATTATTTTTACTTAAATCAAATTATTAAAGATTAAAAAATTATATTCTAAATTAATTAATTCATTTTTTTGATAATTAATTTTTAATAAAAAATTAATTAATAAATATTAATTATATACTTTAGCTTAATATCTAATAGTTTAATTTAAATAAAAATATTATTATTTAATTTATTTAAATTAAATAAATTATATAGCATTATTTCTTACTTAAATTAAATTATCAAATATCAAGATATTATATTTTAATATAACTAATTTATTATATTTGAATATAAAAATTTATAAATATATAATATTTAATATAGAAGCTTTATTAATTTATAAAAAATATTATAATTAATATTTATAATATTTTTTATATTTAAAAAAATTTAGTATATTATATATAATTTATAAAAAATTAAAAGAGATCAAATATTTTTATAATTAATTATATAAGTTTTAAAAAGAATAAAAAATAAAATTAAGAATAATCTTATCTATAAAGATTATTCATTATATTATAATATATAATAATATTATTATTATAAAGTTTTCTATATTATTAATTTGAAAAGATTTTTAAAATAGTTATTATAGTTATAAATTATTAATATAATTATAAATTATTAAAAATGATTATAGATTATAAAGATAAATTACAAATTATCAGAAGTAATTATAGGATTTTAAATTAAATAAATTGAATTAGTTAGATTAATTGGATTATAATTATAGTAATAAAATATTAAAATATATATATTTAATAATTTTTTAAAATAAAAAATAATATTTTAACAAGGAATTAATTAAATCTTTAATTTTTAAATATTAAATATTCTATTAACAAATAAATTCTAATAATTTTAATATAAGAATAATCAAATTTCTTTTAAAATTATTCAAGAAAAATTAAGTATAGTCTAGTAATAAATCTAATAATAGTTAATAAAGGTAAAGATAGAAAGTTTAGTTTTTTAAAATTATTTAATATAATATAATTATTTAAATAAAATTAGTTTAAAAGTTTTAAATTAATATTATATTTTTTGATTATATTTAATATTTAATTATATTTGTAATAGTATTGTTACCGTAGTAGCATAAAAATCTCTAATTCCTTAATCTTTTCGTGGTTATGCAAAATCACATTTTCTTATAA